TTGAATAAACATGAACAAAATATAAAGCCATTTAAATATCGAACGTACAGACTCGAGCGAGTCACGTTCAAGACGATATTGGTCGAACATAAGCAGAGTGAGCAAATGGAAAAAACTATTGTCACCCAATGCGTATATTTAAGGCGCGCATACGCACACGCGCGCACAGTGTACGTATAAATGTATAATACATGTGCTGAGATGAGCCAGAAATACGAGCGAGAAGCTGCTCGGGGGGACAACGCGTGTTTTACTCACCACGAGCTCCGATTCTAAAAGAGAGAAAGGAAGAGAGACAGAGAGCCGCCGTGGCTTTAATTTGGGGCTTTCCCTCCACTTTGTGGGATCGAAACGCAAGTCGTAACAAGGTCTAAAACTATCGGTGCTGTTGCGTACGGCCGACGAGTATCGTTTTACCCATTCGTCAAAGTATATCTGTAGGCGTAAACAGCAATCAGCGACGCGCGTCAAGATTCCAGCATTCGAAAATACGACGATTAAGTTTGCGCTGGGACCATAGCAGTAACTCTCGGCTCGATCTCGATTTCGAGCAGACGCGAACAGCTCGCCCCATGACTTTTGTCTATAGTTCACGACATCGTTAGCTCGTCGTTGTGGCGATATCGGTGACTTTTCCCGTCGAAAATTAGTGCTAATACATCCTATTATGATTATAGTAATAATATCAAAGGATATGACTATTGTGTGCTTACGTTTTATCGATCGGTAAATGTTACAACGCCGTGGGAGTGACACCCAAACGTGACACAAATCAGACAAAGTCAAATAGAAAATTTGTCCAAATGTTTGCTACACTTTGACAGAAACTGTGTCTCGAATCCGGTGCAGCTCTAAGGTGTTCGAACTTTTTCGATCTTTATTGACGAGAGGTCATCATCGTTATCATTATCAATACTTTATTACCACTGCTCGGCTTTGTGCACGATTTTGAAAGTGAGCCGAATAAGAATAAAGTTACACTTTGTCACAAAAATCTGCAATTATAATTAATGCAAAAATGCATGTGTCACTTGCGACGAATTTTGAAGATAGTCGCACGTGACCGCGTCCACTTTCATAAACAATTTGATTACTGGAGTGGTCTAAGATAGACTCATCTTCGTGCGACACCAAAAAAAATAAAAGGAGACCAAACAATCTGTGGAAAATCACAATTATTACACACTTTACACGAGAAGCAGCATATAAAAAGCGGGTCTATTCACTGGTGCCCGATCGGGCTTTTCTTTCTATCGGGAAAATCGCACGGCACACACACGAATCGTGTACTGAGGTGCGCCGTCGGCGACGCTCGCTGCTGAACTGTCTCGCGTAGGCTCGTGCGCCAAGTGCACACGCGGCCGGCACCGCGCGGACAGCCCACAGACCGCTACAGTCGTTACCATCGCCGGAGCAGAAAAAAAGAGAAGAGAATTACTGAGAAAGTCTGCACGCACGAGTACCTATATAGCTTTGAGCCGTCAGAGTCTCGGCGAGTGATTGACAGTACGCGTTGGTTCGTTCTCCAGCCCTTAGTTCTAGTACTTATGTTGTTATAATTTTGTTTTATTTGATTGTATTATTAATAAATATTTTTAATATTCCCTTTGAAACGTACCAAAGTTTTCCGAAGATTTACTTTCACTTGAAGGGGTAATCAACTATATCATCGTACTCCTATAAAATGTTTACTTAGATTTAAAAAAAAATTGACCTACAGAGTTGATTAATAAAAGTTTTATCGGAAAAATTTAACAGTAAAAATCGTTTGTCACAGTAAATTGAATGAAACATTGTATTGAGGCTTAAACTGCGATAAGACAATGCACAATCATCAACCCAGTCGCGCTATATGCACCAATGAGTTAGACCGTTCATAATACACAGTAAGTAATGCAACACGAGCATAGACAAACAACAAATATCTATTTTTATGAACTGATTGACGTTCCACAAATTTGAAGCGAAAAAATAGTTCGAAGTGAAAATTTTTTGCCGCTATTGTTTATGATTAAATAGGACGCTTATTGATTTTTTTTAATTCTTCGGGTATACAAATATACACTAGTTTACAACTGTTAATGCGGATAAACGTGAAGTATGTGTTCATCGTTATTTTACAAAATGGATACATGAGAAAAAATACTTGCCTTGATTACAGACAATGGAGAGAAAAGAAAAATGTCCTCAAGAAGTGACACTTTAATTTTGGAGTAAAACGATAAATAAGAAATCATAAGGTTTGCATCGAATTTTTTTATCCGAATGAATTGTGTTTTTTTTGCGTATTCAATTTTGTCCTTATTTTCTTTGTCATTAGTTTTCGCATAGAAAAAATGCATGTATTGTCAGCCGTTTTACAAAATGATGACAACAATGCTGACGATACGATTTTTTCTGCGTTTGTCGACAAACGTGAGTCTCTGTTTTCAGTTTATTAAAAAATATTCCAAGCCATGGGCTTGATAGGCAGTAATTTGAAAAGGATTTGGAGTTGCACCAAATAAAAAACGAAGTTATTAGTCTGACGGCATGCTTATTTTATTATTTTTCAATAAACACTACTCAATAAATGACAACTAATAGTACATAATTTATCAGCAATAATTCAATTACGATACGTTCGAGATGCGAAATAAAAATTATAATGGTACCTTACATTTTAAAAACTATAACATTTAAGACTTGAATGATCGTTTTAATATTTACACGGCGTTGGAGCTTTTATTTTTTTTCTTATTCATTTTCTCTTCGTCATGTTTAAATTCTTATTCAACTCAGCTCTGATCAAGTCGTAAAGTTATACTTGAAAGAATAAATTGAACTACTCAACCGTCCCTAGGACTGTGGTACGCTCCAGACCTGGACCTAAATTCATCACATATATAACCGGTATGACAAGTATTCCACATTATCGCTACTAATATCAACATTTATACATTGTACAGCCAAATACGTGTTGCACTAATAACCAGAATTTAATATCCAAACATACATTCTTATTAATCAATTACGAATAATTTTTGCATCTGAAAGAAAGATAATTTTTTTACACTCATTTTCATTTTTATTAAAAATCATAAAAGATAAAATTTTTTTTAAATTTTAACTTGCTCGGCACCAACCAAGTTATCACAAAACACAATACAATTAATGAAACATAAGAATATTATGGAAACGAATTACAGTTCTCATCACTTTTATACACAACGTAAAAATGTTTTTTTTTCTGAAAATGCCGTTTCATTAAAAATACTTGGCTCTGACAAACGTAAATTAGTCCAGACTTGCATCACAAGAAAAACTGAACACTTTGTAATTATTATTATAATCTATTATAAAAATGTAAAGTGAAGTCCTGATTATTACAAATAGTATAAAATTCGTACCAGCTTATGTAATTTCCGTTTATTTCTACTGGGATGGGATAACTCTTTAAAGGTACACCAAAAATTAAATTCTAATTATTTTGGAAAATAAATAACGATCTACTTTATGAATTTGTTGAAGCCATTATTTCGGGTTATTAGAAGTTAAAATATTATGTTTGAACCCGAATAATTGCTGTTTTTTTAACAGATGCGTCAAGACTTGGTTTTTATAATTAGGGAGATATACAAAATTTTCAGTGCTTTCATATATAAATAGTACGCATTGAGTTATATCATGAAATGTAAGCACTTTTCGCAAGATTTATTAATTTTCTAAATATATGTTATTTTCCTTTTAAACATTTTTTCAATCTTGTACATTGTAATTTTTCCTCAGTATTCGGTTATTAAAATAACTTTTTTCATATCATCGTACAAAATCTCAGAAGTGTAACATCTGGAGCTGTTATTGTACTTGGAAAATGCTTAACGAGTTTTCTCCAGGACGTATTAAATAGCTGCACAAACGAAGTAATTGTGTAATTGTCGTTTCAAAAAGAACTAGATGTAGATATCATTACGCGGTAAAGCGTAATAAGAACGTCAAAAATTGACGTCTTATAAGTGAATAGCTTGATGGCACTATTTTGCATTACTATACGAATACAACGATCTTAATTTATATTACTTTAAATGTTATGAACTATTAACAAAGTATCTACTAGTGGTTATTTTCTAATAATTTTAGAGAATTAAACTAGCGGTTAAAAAATTTATAAATACGAATTGCACTAAAATCAAATAAAAAAATAATAAAATTGAAGTGCCGTTAGAAGTTTTAACTTTGGAGCTAATATTTCCACGTTACATCTTATTGAGATAAAAATTATACATTATTAAAAATACTAAACATATTAACAAATTTACACTGGGCAAAAAACAGTCATATGTGTCCGTAGGTATGAGATTACCGATTTTCACCACAATTGGAGAAACTTGAGCGTGCGTGACACTTTTTGTTAGATATTCTTTGCAATTTGACAAGTAGTCATCATAAAATATATAAAAATAATAGTTTAAATGACAAGATACAAGATTGTCACTACTTTTTTTTCAAGTAATCTCATGTGCGAGTTAATGATTGTGTGAGTGTTATGCATCTTAAATCTAGAAACATATTTATGTAGAAAAAAACATTTATACTTCAAGCGCTTTCTTTAGAAGTAAAATTATATAAATACAATTCCGCTAGCTCTGGTCTCTCATCCATTCAATACGATCACAATATGGTCATACGTTATCGATTACAAACAATTCGCAGATTAAGCTCTTACTCCTCTATCAATCTAATAGTAACAATAATTATCAGTTTTGCAATAATATTATCAACAATAATAACGTGCTATACCATAAAAAAAGCGTAAACGTCATGATAAACATTCGAAAAAGTGAAAAAAATATTCTTATCACCTTCAAAGATAAGAATACATTCGAAAAGTCATTGTAAGTGTATTGTGATGATTCAAATTATCCGTAGTACCATATACAATCATTTTGTGGCAGTAAAACCGCTATTTTAAAAAATAATTTAAAAAATTGGTAGTCAAAAAAGTCAACTTAGTGCGTAAAAAATATCTTTTTGTTTAAAGTTAAAAAGCACATTTGAATAAATCAAATCTCAAGTATACAAAATATATTAAAATACGAAGTAATTATTGAGCGAAAGAGTTGTAATATTTATAACCTTTTGAGACGATAGAGAAGCTTGTGCGAAATAATAAAGATCGGCGATTGATAAAAAAACGCTTTACATGTTGTAGGCAACGTATATGGGGTCGAGCTGATCAGCTAGGAAACCATCACGCAGATGCATACGCTGCTTTTCTCCACGTGAATTAATCGGTACTACTCCAGGATCGACAACCACCACAACTCCGACGACGAGATGATGTTCTTCCAATACAGCGCTTGTCACAAGTGCTACCAAATCGAGAGCTTCGCTCTCGCTGCCATCGAGTTCAACCACGACAACTAATAAATTTGTCCACGTAAACACAGCACTAAAAAAAATTAAAATGTAATTAATATATCTATTCAGTAAATCGGAACAATTTATTATTGATATTTTTACCATTCAGCGATTTTCTTGTGACACCGCATAACGCTATTCTCGATGTCAATCGGATGATATCTCATGCCTCTTAAAAGAATAGCTTCATCTAAGGCTCCAACAACGAAGACGGCGTCATGTAATTCTGAATCAGTTCTGGACACATCAAGGTCGGATGCGCTATTGGTCGATGTATTATCGGCAGGCACAGCAGTACCCTCAGGGGCCTGCTGAACGCATTCTGTGCGTCTCAAAAAACCGAGATATCCAGTTCGTGCATATACTTCGCCGGTGTTGCCCGTTACTAAGCGCGCACTAAAGTGGTCAGCGTAATCACTTTCATCGCCGTAAATGCTAAAATAGCCACTGGCGTTGTGCGACGACTGAACCCAGATCTCTCCTAGATGCGAGTCGCCACATTGCCCTTTGGTTTCTGGATTTGCTATGATGACTTTGACACCGGGTAAGAGTTTGCCAGATTCCATTAAGCATAATGAGTGAGGTGATCCTCGCTCGACCAGTGAAACTCGGTCGTTACGCAGGGCACGAAGATCGACGTAAACCGTCGATGGTTCGGGACTCGACGCGCCCTGAAATTAAAAACAGTAAAATGTTACTTACGAATTAAACTACGAGCAGTATATCTAGTAGTAGAAAGAAATAAACCTGCAAACATATGGCAGTGTTGACTCTACAACCGAAGGATGTGGACACAGCACGAGGACTGAGGCCAAGAGCGGAGAAAAGTTTGCTGAAGCTTGTTGTCAAAGCTATTCTTGGTCTTTCTTCGGCCACTACAACGCAAGTTCTCACACAAGCTAGACTGACTCCACGAGCTTTTAGCGTATTAACCGACGAGCCTAAACCTTTGGTGCATAGTTCCATGACACCGTACGAGCAGAAAGTGTCACGAACACGCGAATGACTGACAGCTGACAGCCATAGGGCTGGGTTTGCTTCAACCTGTAACAAAGGAACAAAAAAATTAGCGTTGTCCATAAAAATAAAAAGTTTGCCATCGTGGAACATGGAAATGTTTAGGTACCTCAGATGGGGGGATAAGGATGGAGTGATGACCACTATATATGCTGCTGAGGCACCATAGAGCGAAGCCCAGTCCTGAGTAAGGATCGAGGCAGAGCGCGATATGCCTCGAGGGATAGAGCTCGCAGGACAATTTCATGGCGCGACAGAGCGAGGTAACAGCGGCATGAGACATCTTAATTCCCGCCAGCATACCCGTGGTTGATACGCTAAAGTCGAGATAGGCCAGCATTTCGGCGGTCGGCGCGCGATACAGCACCGGTAGCTTCTTCTTTGGCATGTCTTCCATATCGAGGATGGTTGGCCAGCTCTTCGTCTCTACGACGCTGTTGGCCTCCTGTGAATGAAAAATCGAGAAACATAAATGAGATTTCGTCATGACAATCAAAGCTATCGGATGAATTTACGTACCTTCGATTTCAGCAGTTTCATGATTGTCTGATTAGTGAGAATGAGAACTGACTTGCTGACGTCGGCTATCATGCGTACAGTCGGCAGAGTCGTTTGTAAATTTTGCGGGTGCGGTGGTCTGATGGTCACCGGCACGGCACCGACGTAAAGGCATCCGTAGAAGGCGCAAATGAGATCGGTGCCTGGGGGAAAGAGCAAGGCCACATGGTCACCGGTATTAAGGCGGCCCTTGTCCAGCAGCAAGTTTCCAATGCGTTCGGCTTTTTTGTGCAGCTGAGAGCAGGACAGCGACGACGCTACTGCACCCTTCGAGTTCAGGCAGCTGAATATCACGTGATCCGACGTTCCGACGGCTCGCCAGCGCAGGATTTCCGAAATGAACTGATACTATGATGGTCATTATCAATGTTAAAGGCACAAGCGACGATCGTCAATCGTCGGACTGACGAAAAATCAGACTTAAATAACTTACCTTTTTAGCGTGGTCACTGTCATCGTCGAGCACACCCAAGTCTCGACCTTGCGCCGATGCCAGCCTGTTGCCCTGGACGATGTTTCCGACCATGACGCTTGCCGGGCCCACATCTGAAACAGAATCTCCCGCTACACGCCCCCGCGAATTTGATGTTAGTGAACCAACGCAAATGCTCAAATAAATCCCAACAACATAACATTTTAGAAGAGCAGCTACACCAGACTTTCCTCTGACTGAGGCCAGAAACGCACGAGTTCTGATCACGCTCGCTGTCGGCGAAACGAACCGTCAACCGTAGCGCATTGACGATCAATGACCGTTCATACGCTTTTAAGTATCTTATAAACGTTTTCGAACTTGTTGATGCAAACTCGAAAACTGACTGCAACTTGTCTAGGTATGTTCAAGAAAAACTCGGGGGTTTATACGAACTCAGCCAAAAGAAAGAGAGAGAACTAATAAAGTTTTTATCAAATAAGTAAAATTCAATAAAACGATCAACAAACTTTAGAATGTAAAGTAGTATCTAAAAGTGAAAAAAAAAAAAGAAAAACAATAATACATTGAGTGCACAAGCAAAAACAACTAACAAATTAAAGAAAAAAAGTAAAACACTGTTTACGGAGTATGTCAGTTCAAAAGATCTTGTCCCTGTTTCGTCGTCCACGATTGATATCATTTGGATAAACTCAACAGGTTTTGACTTATTTCATTTTGATCTTCAACTAGCATATTTTGACTATTATTCAGCTTCTACTTTTTAGCGAAAACTGCTCTCTAAATACCTTTCATACTGTCCACAATCGTAACGCGAATGTCATTGTTATTTTATAAAATTTTCCATCTTTTCAGTTCAACTCAGAAATTTTTATTGCAAAAGAAAAAAGTCAAAAGTTGAACAAATCTTTATAACGAGGAAAATTTATGTAACCTGCTTCAAAGAATTTATTTTTGGATTAAACAAGAATAATGTAAAACACAAAGATAATGCAAGTAGAAGTAATTTTCAGTTTGAGCATTTTTAACTACTTCAAAATCACATGTAACTAAATAACAAACAAGAAATAGTGAAAAATTTAACATTGATACGAAATATTTAAAAAATAACCATTCTTCATAGAGCTATTAACAATCCATCCGAAAAGAAATGAGAAATATTCTTTTGAAATTTAATGAACTGAAAAATTAAAATAATTAACGAGACCACTGAATCATATAAAAAAATTAATAATAAGATTATTTGATTTTGATTATCAAGTATAAACACAGCCTAAAAACATCAAATTTACAAGATTTAAAAATCCATACAACAATCAAATTCATTACAAATTTCTGAGTTGAATAAAAAAAGAGGTGGAATTCCAAGAAATAACAAAGCCATTCAAACCATGCTTTCACAAAAAATCGAACTCTCACCCAGTCCGCATTCACCCTATTTGAGCTTTAGCGTTGGTCGACTTACCCGAATGAATCTCACGTGGCTTTGGTAAATTGGTGACACACGTATGTGGACACAGCAATACGTTAGCTGGATGAAGAGTACCCTCGCGGAAACGCCGTTTAGTCTCAGACAAATGGATTCCACCTAGAGGTGTTTTCGGTAGATAATTCGGTGGTACCAAAGCCAAACAATAAATCCCAACAGCGTGGATCGAGTCCACGGCTTGTAACACCCTCGACATCCATTGAAAACTCTGTGGAAATTTATTACGAAGATTAAATTATTGATGCAGAGCTTTATCAAGTTTTAATAGAAATGCATACCTCTTCTTCGCTACAATCGGGACGCTGTTCAGCTATCACACATATTCTTTCATCTCTGAGAACTCTGACACTAAATACGGCTATTCGACCCCGATAAATAAACTTCATTGGCTCTACCGCGAGGACCGTGGCTATGATGTCGTCGGCATTGTGTTTGCGGCCCGTGACAATCATGAGGCCATCCCGAGAACCGCATACAAACACAAGATTACCCGGACCGAGAAAGCCAAGCAGTCCCGAGCGCGTGTACTCGACGTCTCCCAGCGGCTGTCCGTCCGCTTGAAGCGGCTGAACTTTAAAGTTGTTGTTGGACAGTCCCTTGAGACCCCAGTATTGACTACCTGTAGCAGCGCTGTGAACGCAAATCTCGCCAACCTCATCAGTTTTACAGACTAGCGGTGATCCATCCATCTTGATAACCGATACGACGCCTGAAAATAAGAGCAGAAAAGAAAAAAATTAAATTAATGATGAATGAGTAGGATAGAAGTTGTTAAAAAGAAAACTCACTGCCAGGCATGACTTGTCCGCAGTCCTGCAAGGTGAGCGAAGTAAGGGAATTTTCCTGATCGACTCTGACGACACCATAACTGAGACCCGACATGCTGAGAACACCTCGTCCGGTGGCGTTTACGCCAGCTCTTCCTGGTCTTCGGATCGACACCGTGAGCGCTTCACTCGACGAGGCGCAAGGGCACACGGCGTCGGGCCTCAAACCCTTGGGCTGGAAAACCGAGAGGAACTGATCGCAAGACGACAACGACCAGGGATTGGCTCCGTCGGCAACGAGCAGCAGTCTGAGAGTCGACAACGATATGTCCTTGTGGTCCTTGGTCGCTAGCAGACCCCAATGCAGATCTCGAGACTTGACCACGGCGACGGTCGCTCGATGTTTCGTGATCATCTGCATCCAGCTGGCGGGATTGACTTTCATCAAGGCATAAGGAATGAAGATGACGTGCATGCCGTTGAGAATACTCGTCAGTGTACTGTGCCAGAGACCGACTTCGCGCTTGAAGTCCAGCACGCAGACCATATTTTCACCCTCCGTGTAGCCGCAAGCCTGTACAAGAGTAAACGCGAGAGTCAAATTACAAATAGAACCGAAGCCAAAGTGAGCCGTCGAAGGCGACGTACCTGTGTGAGAGCGCGGCAGTGCGCCAGCATCGCAGCTCGAGTGACCGTGACTCCCATGACGGAACCATCGCGATCCGTGGTGTACTCGATGTAGGCCGGCGTATCGTCGGTGAGGCGCGCTGGCGGCATCCAGTCTTTGGGCGTTTTTCCCAGATGCTCCGTGACGAACCAATGGAGCTTCGGCCAGCCCTTGAACGCCACGACCTCGCCCGTCGACGTTTTTGGCAGATTTTTCAAGCAGGCCTCGCTGGTCAATGCGATCTACGAGTCAAGACGAAACGAGTTAGTCGGAGTTAGCGAGCATTACGATAAAGTAAGTGTCTGCGTATCGTACCTGTATGCCGCAGCTGCCCAGAAGGAAGCCAATCTGGTGGGAGCCGGCGTCGCGTCGGGTCAGCGGCACCTCGATGGGCACGGGCACGATGCCCGCCTGTAGGCAGCCGTAGAACGCGCAGATGAAGTTGATGGGATCGTCGTTTGGATAGACCAGGGCGATGCGATCGCCCGGCTTGAGGCAGCACTCGCCGACGACGCGGGTGATGGCCTTGTTGAGCAGCGTGTAGGCTATCTTGTAGGAGCGGCTCAGCAGCTTGCCGTAGGTCAGCGTGATGCAGAGCTTGCCGTTCGGGTCGAGCACTGTGGCTGCCGGGGCTTTGTACGACGCCGAGCCATACCTGCGCGCAATTACGAGCGGGGTGAAAATCGAGAAGAGCCCGATTGCCGATTTCGACGCGCTTACCTCTGTATGGCGGACTCGACGGATCTCGGGAGCCCCGAAGGCACGGATAGCGTCTCGCCTACCGCCGGAGTCATGGTGCCACCCTCGGGCTTAGGCGCGTTCGGGTCTTTAGTATTGGCCGCTATTTCCAATTCAATGTCGTCGTCTTCGTAAAATTCTGGCAGTGGTCGTCGTTTGGGCCGCTTCAGGGTGTTGAGGAGCTGCTGGATTTTCGCCGAGACCTTCCAACGGCCCGCCGTACCCGTATTGTTTTCCTCCACGACGTGGTACCTGTTTACTCGATCAGCTCCTGAAAAAATTAGGCACTTATTGACGAGACTATTAAACACGTACGTGCTCAGACTCTCGATCGAACTAACCGGCTGTTCTCCTGCTCTGAGTGGTCGTGTGGGTGACGTCCGGAGGCTGAACTTGCACCAGATTGCAATACGAGTGCGGCGAGTATTCGGCGATGTCGGTTATATCCGCAGCCGGGGGTCTTCTGGCCGGAGGTCGGGGCGGCGGTGGAGTGTCCCTGGCGGAGCCCGTACTGCTGGTGTCGCTGAGACCGGTACCGCTCGGGCCCCCGGCGCCGGGGCTCTCCTCGGTGACGATGCTGTCCTCGTCGCTGCTCGAGTCGCCGGCCCCGCCCACGCCGGACGAGCTCGTGTTGCGCTGCTCGCGTTTCGATTGATTGGTCTGTTGCTGCTGCTGCTGATTCTGCTGCTGATTGCGCTCGGGGCTGCGCGCCATGACCGAGGTGCGCTTCGAAGGCATCGGCAGCGACGGTTTCGGTCTGCTCTGCATCGCTGCCAACGCTTGCTGCACAGCCTCCTGTCGTACTTCTGTTGGCATAAACGTTTCTTCGATTATTATTCGAGATTCCTACTCAACGATTAAACTTTTCATTCCAATGACAATAATTTTTCTATTTCCTGTCAATTTTATTCATACTACCGATTTTGATGGTCTAATATATCGCAAGGTCATCTTCTTGATATCTGTATTTCCCCAATTTAAATTATACCGAACTTCAACTTATCACGCATAAAAAATGCAGCGTAAAAAATTATTTGTCATTAAAAATACCGAAAAACACAAAGTCGAACACTCGAGGATATATTAGAGCGCAATCAGTCTCGCGTTTATAACACTTATAGGTCTCCGTATATAAGAAGCAAATAACTGGCTTTGCTGGGTCAATTGCGACAGATACAGTATGTACGCGTTCGGCGCGACTTTCGCTGCAACATTTACCTCTGCATGCATAGACAAAAACGTGTGGGTCGCGAGTCTCGCGAGTACCATACTTTTGTCTCTCTCTCTCTCTCTCTCTCTCTCTCTCTCTCTCTCTCTTTTTCTCTGCCTCTCGACTCGAGTCCAAAGGCGTAGGTTGCTGCCGCGGTCACTTTTGTTTTGTTTCACTACCGTTCAGCAGTCGAGAGCATGCAGTACAAGAGCAGCAGCAGCCATGCACGCGGCTGTAACTCTGCATATACAGGCACCTGGAATGCCGTCGCGCGCGCACACACTGCAAGTGCGATTTAGCGTTCTTTCGTTGTTTGGCAGCTTTCATACGCGCCCAAGCACGAGACTGTTTTTTTTTTGCTTTTTTTTTGCCAACCGACTTTATCTCCCTCGACGAGGACGAAGTTTTATAGGGTGGTATGCAGAAATTTACGAGCCGATTATGCCTATAGCTGCCCTGGACTCTCTTGTTCTCGCACCTCTCTCTCTTTCGCGCGCGCGCTCTCGTTAGCCTTTTGTACAGATATAACCAGTGTTAAACCTGATAGTCGGAGCGCTTTTTCAATGCATATTTGCAGCTCCGTTTTATTTTACCTGTAATAATTCGTTGTACGTCGCTAAAATTGATCGATCACGAATCAAGCAAATGCAAATGAATCACGAAATTTTTATAAAACTATAAGCACACGTTAATTAAAACTTTATATTTTCACCGAGAAAAAAGTAAATTTTGAATAATACGTTTTCAGGCTACGATGCAACTCGTAACTATTAATTGTTTTAATCGATGAGTTTACTATATCTTATAGTTTTTAATAAGGCCAAAATGTGTTTGTAAAGATCACGAAAAATTCAAACGAAAGTTGAGCATTAAATATTGTTACTGTATCACGGTACGACAAAACTAGAGCAGCTCGGTACACCAACACTTAAAAATGCTGCTGTTTATTTACACGTTCGAGTATTTGCTTTGTATTGAAGCTTCATGTACGTCTCACGTCACTCGAGAGTTACTATATTTGGACGCACGCACCTAAATTTGTGCAATTCTTGCGCTCGCAATACACGAGATATCTCTACTCAGAGATACTAATGTGACTATTTTTTGTTTTTTCAAACTCGGTATATTTTTCTTACATAATTGCGCACGAAAATTTCAATTTAAAAAAATCGAAATCAATAAGAACGAAATAGGAAAGAATCTGAGATTTATTCAAGTGTATTATGTTAACGGTATTGTACATTTTCTTGAAATCTGGATCCTTTCATCCTTTCATCAACCAAAACTACCTAACTCTACGAATTGCATCGGGAAAAAATAACTTTTCTTGATACCGCATTGAAATTAAATTTTCGGCCACAACAAAAATTTTATTTTTTATTGTGAAATTCAAGAAAAATAGTATTTGTGCAACATCAAAGGTACCGTTTCGGCTTTGTGATCCAAGACATTCTTTTTTTACCTCCCCTTTTTTGCCAATGTTAAATTTTAATTTTAAAAAGTCAAAAATAAATTTTATGAACATCATAACACAAACTTTTTTTAATGTTTTATAATAAAATAAGTTGGTAATTTAAAAAAATCGATTAGAAAAATCGCCAGAATATTTTGATAAACATTTTCCTTGTTTGACGAATCATCTGAAAATAACATTTCAATCCCATAAAGGAAAGTTGATTATACCTTGGTAAAATAATATTTAAAACATTATTAATAAAATGTTTCATCTCGCAGATATTACAATAATTTTCATTCACTACTGCATCACTCAATAGTGATAACATTAAAAATTTAATTTAGATAATACCTTCATTCAATAAACAATATAATTCTACTATGTATTCTATAATTCACGCAACATAAATTACTATTTGATATCTACAACAAAGTGGAATATTACTCACACACTGACCTACAAAAAATATACTTCATAAACACTGCTGGTCGAATCAGAAAATAAGGAACCACAAATGATGCAATAACAGGCGAAAAAATACACCAAAAATATCTCGTCGAAATGGACAAAGTGAGACACAAGTAAGTGTAATAAATTCATCGATCGATACAGGGAGGATTAAGAAAATTTTCGGGGAATTCTACAAATCGTCGGGTTGATTCACCATGAGATGCCGACCGAGTGTAATATAACACACAGATATATGCTACTTCCAAAAGGACTTGGATTGCTTGTAGGGGTTCAAGTGGAGGTAGGTGTATCGCAGATTGTAGATAATATATATGTTTAACGCATGTGTCATGTGTATTTGTGCGCGTGTCGGATGATGTATATACTCACCAGAATGATATCGACTTTCGTTGCGAGTTAGCCTGCGATTGCCGCGCCTATTGGCCGAGGAGGAGTTGGTGTTGTTGTTGCTTGTGTTGTTGTTGGCGAGGTTGCCGTTGTTGCCGTTGCTGCCACCACCGACGCCGCCAGCTCCGGTCGAGGCGAGGCCGGAACCTGGGCTACCGAGGAGGCTCTCGCTATTGGATGTCGGGCGACTGCCTGCGGGGTCGCGGACGACGCATGCAACAACATCAGCAGACAAATAGGAAAACATTCGACAACATTTTCAAGCAACTACTTCGAGATCATCGCCACAGCTCGTGGTGTAGCGAATATCTACGAAAAATATCTACGCAACCATCCAAATGCACAACTACTAAATGACAGCTAGTAAATGAGAATACTTAGTGGCAACTAGCATACACATAGATAGATAAAAGTATGATAATGAAAATTGAAATCTATTATAGTTTATAGAAAAAGTAACATCAGGAGCTTTTTGATCACGTTTTGATCATAGAAGATTAACAATCAACAAGCTTATTCAAGGTATCACCATCACCAGAACTTATAGTTATGAAGAAGATTAATTTAAAGCGAAAGTAGAACTTTATAGTATATAATATTGATAAAATGCATAACGGGCATATGAAAAACGATGCAAGCAAAGCCAACAAGAAACTTTTGCACGAGATGTTATAAGACGCATAATGGAAAAAATAAAACAGTCAGCGTATAATAATTGAATGATGGTAGAAAAACTGCTGCATTATTATTTTTCTCGTTTTTCCGTGTTTAATAAATCTCGCAAGTCGCCATACTGCACGAGATCGTACACAACTAAATGATCAGACCTAACGTGAATGAGTCACGCTGTATGAATATCTACTGATCAATTGGGCTATTCGTAATTTATTTAGTCTTCACAGTCGAGTAAAAAAACTTATCATAATTTTTATTCTATCAAATTGAACGAAAAACTGATGAATATAGTAAAATTGAACAGAGATTTTTTTATTAAAATTAAATATATGTATAAAAAAGTTGAAATAACTTATCATTGACGGCATCGATGATCAGTGAATCGATAAATTGGCTAGCTATTTATGAGAATATGTATTCATGCTAAAAATGCAAATTTGGTACAAGCCGCTGGATGTTTATGTTCTTAGGTATCATGCGGCATTTTGGTCGAGAAAAGGAATTTCTGTATGGTATACATCATGCATCGCTTACTTAACGATCAAGCTCGTTTTTAAATTAGTCTCAAGAGCAACATCGGCATATCTCTCGGGACTCAGGGTTAAAAAAAAAGTACGAGCACGAGCAATATACAACAGATAGTACGTACATGTAACGTATATATAATATATAAAATGCAGGAGCAACAACAATTTCTACACAGCGAGGATACATATCCGTGTAATGCGAGCGACATAATGAGAATCTTGTGATAATGAGCTACCTGAGTGATAGCGCTTTTCCGAATGCGTGACGCGGCTGCGCTGGGTGCGCCTGGCGCGAGGCTGTGGCCGGCCACCACCGCCGCCGCCGCTGCCACTGCCGGCACTGCCGAAACTCGTCCTGTCCAGGTCCCTGCCGCTCCCGTTATTGCTGCCGCCTTTGAGAGCGCAGCAGCACGCAAAGTTAGAGATGACAAAATGACGACGACGATGATGATGATGCGATCATGTCGATACGACGATGCCAATGACCATGACGACGATGACGATTGGGCCACACCACAGGCAACACAGACAGTTCAATGATTCCATTATTATACAGACCAACCAAGTCAGCTTGTTCTCTCTCTCTCTCTCTTTTCTCTCTCGCTCGCGCGCGCTCGGTTTTGGTCGCGCTCATGCAGGTTTCTCGCAAAAATTATTTCTCGATCGGCGAAGACGGGGTGTGCGCCGCCGATCGCCGTACACACAGCGCTACAGGCAGCTCTCCGCTGCACACACGATGCGATAAGCTTTCGGTATATTGGCAGGCTTTTTACGCGCGCGCGCATGTATACACGGTATTCGCATATACGCGCGCGGGCCGCAGGCCTTATCGTTGGCAATTTATCGGTCTATCCGTTCGCAGAAATGCCCCGATGACTCGACGAAATAATCATCTTTCTCTCTCTCTCGGGCTTATGAGCACGTTAATAATACGCCTCGTACCTTTTAAAATCTCGAGTGTTATGATATCCTTGGCTCGGTTTGGTGGATATGAGCTAAAAATCATCAAATTTGCTGCGAGGGAGACGCGCCTCGACTTTTAACGATTCGCGTATGCGATCGCAAAACACGTCGTGCAGGCCAACTTTACAAGATACGTTTTATGACATAAGAATTCGATCGAACTGGCCGATTGCGCGAGTTTGTATCGCTGTAAACGCACGCGAGTCAAAAAAGGAAAAACTGCTATGGCTGTTGCCATCGATTACGCTCTTCTTAATTGTAGCGCTGGTGTTGTAAAAGCTCGACGTGTGGGACATTATATTGCAGCTGAGATCGTCCAACTTGCAAAATGCTGCACTCGCGAATGGGGCTCTCGTCGACCTACGAGGCGCGACGATGGCAGAGCCAGCCCGATAGAGCAGTGCAGCATGCATCTATAAACGCTCGGCGAATGTCGCGAGGATCGTAATCGCGAGCGGGTCTTACATGCAAAGATCACGACACGTTTAGCAATCTCGGAGCTCGTTCCCTATAACTCGCGAAAGCGTATTTATACACACAAATACATAAAGAATATTATGTCAGCTCGTAGAAATGGGGGCGGACGATAAATGCCAGCGCGTCGCTCGCGCACAATGTGGAATCGCGAACGGCGCACATGCACACACACACACGCAGACACGAGCAATGAACCATCTCGACGCGCTTATTCCTAGAATACGAACGCGTTACACTCGCCGCGACTCTTGTACACGTCCATGCGCATTATACGTCCCGGTCATATAGATCGAGAGAATATATTCCATTTGCTGCATGCTAACACACGAGTACATATATTATAATATGAATTCACGGACTCGAGTACAGCAGGCGCGCATTCAAACGCAATTGCATATCGGCTTGTGTATGTGTATAATAAAACGTTTTTAAAAGCCGGAGCCAAATCTCTGCACGCGCTTACAGCGTCGCGCACCGACTATTTGTATACGCTGCTATAATGGGAATACACGTAAAATATGTGCGCTCGCTTCTCGTTCGTAGATCGGACGTATACTGCTGCACGTGTGTTATATAGAGAGCGAGGCATCGAAACCTCCGACAAAGTTAGCCAGATACGTTTTAGCCTTTGAATTTTCTACGCTCGCGACGCGCCTTGGGAAATGTGCGCTTCAAGCAGTCTGCCCGGAAGAACATAAAGAATTTTTCGAGAGCGAAACACTCGTCGAACGTTACAAACGCGCCATGAGCCGCCTTTTGAGCGAGGCAGCTTCATTCTAGCTTTGCGCATTTCGTAAATGTAAGTGTCATTCGAGTTTTTTAAGTAACTCGAGCGCGCGCTTGCGAGCTGTCGTAATTGCTGGCCTGGGCCACTACACTACTGGCGGCACCAATTATTTTTCAATTTCGCCTTTTTCGTAAAACTGCATACAAGATTATCAAGTACAGTAATGTACTTACAGCATGCGCAATTCATTAATTCATTTTTTGTTCTTTTTCTTTCCGTCCGTGCACGCTATTTTAAAATCAGCCGCCTGTAACGCGTCTGAGAAACCATTTTTAAAGTCTCAATTTTCGATCGTTTGCTTGGATAATATTTTCAAGTTTTTTCTTACGTTTGATTGACCTAGTTTTGAAATGGAAAATTGTCTCCTTATCTTTCATCTATGGAAATCATTGGAAAATAAGCGATTCTTCCGTTTTCTGTAAACGTGTGAGCGAGGTCAATTTCGTAAAACGCTGCACAAAGATACGCGCCGCGTAAGTTTACCATGTAAGTTATAAGTAAAAGAGCACGCGTATTCGCGTAGAAGTATTTTTTGTCTCAAGTTCATAAACATGGAGCGCGGATCGCTGGTATACCGAAGCTCATATTAATTGGATTTTCTACGAGATGCTCGGGCACGATCAATTTGGCGCGCAGGCGGAAAAGATTCCTCACCGTGCAGCAGCGCGGCTTTCGTACGATCGCTGCAAGCTCATTCATTATTGACGGATTATCTAACCGTCTCTTCGCATCTCTCGCTCTCTCTCCGAACTGCCTCCCGCAGCCGAGTGCAATCTCTGGGCATTCCCTCTCGATTAAATCGAAGGTATATACGTATAGTTCGAGCCGAGAGAGCCAGTCACACACACGTGGAAAAATTGTTATGCCTCTTTCTCCGCGAGCTCGATTGCCAGCCGCGGCCCTCTGCGCAGCTGTGGAAAAAGTAAGAGATCGAGCAGGACGATCTTTGCCGATCCGCGTGGCTCTTGGGATTGCGACAATGATCTCTCTTCGATTCGTTGCATTTCCGATGCGGATAAAAAATAAATCGAGCGCTGCGCAATGTGCAGCGTGCAGCATCGTATATATACAGTGAAAGGCGGCGGTGGCGGTGGCGTCGCGGCTCGATCCGGAGCTCGAGAGTGCTCTGTCCCGCTCTAATCTTGCACGTATATTTGCTCGCCGTTGTCTGTATACGTATAATGTACGAGCATATCGTACACTACGAATGTATATGCGTGTGTGTACGTGAGCAATAGAACTGCAGCGTCTGCGGTGCACGTAGAGACTCATCTTGCATGGGAAGCATAGCTACGGCGGCGGCGGCGGCGGCGTCGGAAAGGCGAGGTGGCGGCTGCGACTCGAGTGCTTGGGTGCACGAGACCTAGCTCGTGCGGGCCCTCTTCCGCGTGTGTGCCGTGCATTTATACAGTTACTCGCCGCTAGGCAGCTCTCGAGCTATGAGCGCTGCATCGAGAGAATACTCGAGTAGTCTATCCTACTGCCTGGGACTGCCTAGTGCACCCATGCACATGTATGCACTTTTGCAAGTATGTGTAATGTACACACGCGGCGGCCCCCATCGCAGTTTCGAACTACGACTCTGTGCACCAGCTATCGAGTCCTTTGGCTCGCGTGTACCTATGGTATACCTACTCGAAACGACGCAACCAATCGTACACACGCGCGCACACACACACACACACGTAGAAGCGAAAAGCGTGGGGCACATTGCCGGATCGGCAAAGATCGCTGCACTGGCGCGCACCGAGCAAGAGACGTGT